TAATACTAATCTATTTCTAATCTTTCTTACACTAATCACTAAAAACCAATGAGCTTCGCTTGAGTTAATATAAGTAACAAGAGCAAAAGAAGAAATAGAGAGATTTGATTATGCCAGACAAAAATTTCACATTTTTATTGAAATTTTTATAAATAAAAATTAAAAAAACATGATACAAGAGCAATCCATTCCATTTTTTAACGATTATAAATATAGTTAACGAAAAAAATTACTACTAATTTACTACTGATTAAAAAAGTTTCAAGTACAAATGATTAGTTAGGAAGTCTTGGTAATAGTTCATTTCTTGACGATTCTGAACTACATTGTTTCCAGACTGATTAACATTTTTTCAAGTACAAATGATTAGTTAGGAAGTCTTGGTAATTGTCCATTTCTTTACGATTCTGAACTACATTGTTTCCAGACTGATTAAAAAAATTTAAAGTACAAATTATTAGTTATGAAGTCTTGGTAATAGTTCATTTCTTTACGATTCTGAACTACATTGTTTCCAGACTGATTAAAATTTTTTCAAATACAAATGATTAGTTAGGAAGTCTTGGTAATAGTCCATTTCTTTACGATTCTGAACTGCATTGTTTCCAGACTGATTAAAAAAATTTAAAGTACAAATGATTAGCTATGAAGTCTGGGTAATAGTCCATTTCTTTACGACTCTGAACTACATTGTTTCCAGACATTTTAAAATTTTTTCAAGCACAAATGATTAGTTAGGACATCTTGGTAATAGTCCATTTCTTTACGATTCTGAACTACATTGTTTCCAGAATGATATCACAATGTAATGGAAGGTATGTATAGATGTAAAAAAGAGCCTTGCTTCCTATGGATCTTTCAGAATCTTTCTTTTTTTTCATTTGATTCTGTGACCACAGCTTCATACTTACCAATTCTGATGAGCGTCAAGCTCTGTCATGCCAGTATATTACAACTTTTGAATAGTGATTGTTTATTATAATTACTATTATAATTACTATTATTATTTTATCAACCTACTTATGTTCATACCGAATTTCACTAAAATCTGTTCAGAAGTTCTGGAAGAAAAAAAATAGACAGCACCTCTTTTAATTTTGAATACTTTTGTATAAAACAGAAAACTGCATCGCGATTTCAAAATGATTGAAAGAAAATCAATTCCGTCTCATTCATTGGTTAAATATTTTTACTGAATCCTAAGAAAATAAAACAAGAAACAAAACGAATATATTTTAAACAAAGCATGTGTATTTAAAAAAAAATCATCGATTTCAGAAAAATTAAAAAGAATATTTTTCAATAATAACCGAGTAGCGGATTTCAAAGAAATTATTTTTCTTCTTCCATCAACGATGCAAAATAATTGTTATTGGAAAAATTCAATTATCTTTTTCCATTATGATACCTTAATAAAGACATAATATTGTCAAATTAAATTTTCAAGAAGAGAAGAAAATCACTTTTTTTTTTGTTAACTAAGACAGAATTATTGGTTTTAAAAAATGATAATGCGGCGTATTACTTTCTACATTTCTCAATTGAATAACATTTATTCTTGTCATTTATTTTCTTAGATTAAATTCAACATTTGTCTCGCTTATATATTTGAGTAGTGTTGAGCTGATTGTTTAGTGATTCAATTTAGTTGTAGCCTTAAATCTCGCTTTCTTTTCGTCTCGACAATTTCTAAATAAATTTTAGGGAAAGTGATTTTTTTTTTTTACTTTTATTCATTTTCTAACTACAATTGTTTAATAAACACTTGCAAAATAAACATGCCCAAAAATTCACTCAAGATCTCAATTTTACTTTGGTATGAAATGGTGCAAAAAAATAAAGAATGCAAGCGGATAGTTAAGAATTTTAAAAAATGGAGCACTACACAAAAAATATCAAATTGCTAACACCTTACCGAACATTCCGACATCGTTGGTCGAATTTGCTACAGCAAAAAAGTGCCCGGCAGCTGGAGTTAACAATATCAACGCTTCCTGGTCAGCATCGGTCACGAAACACATTTTTATCGTATTCATGTATTCTCTATAAACTTGTACTTTCAGACAAACAAAGAAAAACGAAAAATAATCATTTTGTAAAAATCTTCAGCTCTCGGAAGGGAAAAAAAACTCCAGATTTGAGATCCCCCCACACCCGAAAGTTAAGATTAAGTACAAACAACCACAAAAAAATTTCCCCAGTGTTATGTAACAATATATCAATAAATTAGAATTAAAAGAATTTTGTCCACCTCTACATAGAAATAATTTAAACCGATATATTAAATGTCGGATCGAGAAATAGTCATGCTCTAGGTCTTGAAAAATATTTCACACAAATTTTATTGGTTTTAAATACTTTGAATTTAGTTCGTTTCCACAAACTGAATTGTTCGAAGGTATATTGACCTCTTTTCAGTTTAAATTATTTTAATATAGTGGTGGGCAGAATTCTTTAAATTTCTGATTATTAAATTACTTTTGTTACCACAGGGAAAAATGTTTTCGAAAACTATCTAGTAACTTAGTATTATTTCCATAGTTAGTATGGGATACATCTAGACAAAACTAAATTGAAATGAGACATTTGCTTTGAAATAAAAAATATGATTTACCATGCTTAAAAATTATTAGTCTTTAAATTTAGCTTTAAAAATTCCCATGAGAATTTAGAAAATTATCTATTCCCATTTTTGTGAGTTAGAGATGATCTAATAAACAATTTTGCACCTTTAATTTTCTATTATAATGATGCAATCAATGAAAACATTTAAAGAAATAAAAGGAATTTGAAACAAGTGTTGCTTTATCTAATAATAACTATTCTATTATACTGAATAATTTACCACATCAAAATCCAGAATCCCATTCCAAAACTGCTAATGATGCTTATCTAATCCTAATATAGCCTAGCACATTGTACAAAGCGCCAAAAAAAAGAAATGGACCACCCAGAATAACTTTTGATCTAATGATCGGTTCTTCACGTTCTAGGACTCACTCTTTATAGTCTCAAATATACTAATTAATTAGTGCAAACGATATTTCAAGTTACGAAATCAGACACAAAAATGTACTTTCTCTAAATAAATATACCTTCTTTTTTGACGGATTCCGATTTCTTATCCTCAAAATGTAGGGGCCGCAATCTGGGAAATATGATCCCCAAAGTTTGGTCAAAAGAGTTAACAAAAGTTTAGACACCTTAATGTTAATTTTACTTTTTGAGTATTCCGCAATATCTCAAACACTTTTAAAGCGAAATGAAAAATTTTTCACACAATTATAAAATTTGTTAATCCGAAGATAATTTCATGCAAAAAATAAATGTTAGTCAATATTTATTCTTAGTATATTTAATAATAGACGAAAAAATTATAAAAAGTAAAGTATACAAAGTGTTTTTTTTTAATCATTAATGAATTGTGTCAACGATGATATAAACCAAAGAATCATAAAAGCTAGAACATGCTTCAGAAGTCTTCACAAATTTGAGAGCTTCTAACATAAAAATCACCACAAAAATATTTTTAAAGCTGCTGTTCACTCCTTACTTTGTATTTACTGAATGTTGGAGCCTCCGCAAAACAGAAATAGAAATACTGGAGGCATTAAAGACTAAATGTTGAAGAACTATTTTAAGAATTTCCTGATCTATCATTATTTTAAATAAAGATCTACTACAAACTCTTCCTTTAAAGCTGTATAGCCCTCCTAACATCGCATGTAATTGGGCACCTGATGGAAAAAGTAAAAGGCTGAGACTTACTTGGCAAAGATACATGCGCTAGGATCTGTGGAAAGCAAAACTAAATGGATGGGAGGAGGCAAGAGGACTGGCTTAAGACAGAGGTGCCTGGAAAAAGAGATTTGAGGCCTTATGTCCCAACTGGCGCAAAGAGTACAGATAAGTAGGCAATGTGCCATGAAAAATGTGCTTGGTTCAATATAATGTACCTTGATTTTTGGATACTGAAGTGTAAAGTTCTCAGTTTTGATCAGTCAATACACTCCTTATTGATTCTCACTTACACCAGTTACTGACCATATATTAAAAGTAAATGAAAATGGGGTAATTAATTTTCAAACTTTGTTTTACTATACGAACTCAATGATCAAAACTAAATGGATGGGAGGAGGAAAGAGGACTGGCTTAGGACAAAGGTGTCTGGAAAAAGAGACTTGAGGCTTATGTCCCAACTGGCGCAAAGAGTACAGATAAGTAGGCAATGTGCCTTGAAAAATGTGCTTAGTTCAATATAATGTACCTTGAATTTTGGATACTGAAGTGTAAAGTTCTCAGTTTTAATCAGTCAATACACTCCACATTGTGCTCACATAGTAAAATAAAGTTTGAAAATTAATCACCCCATTTTCATTTGCTTTTAATATATGGTCAGTAACTGGTGTAAGTGAGAATCAATGAGGATTGACGGATTAAAAGCTTCATACGCCTCAAAAATATAAAAATAGGAAATAAAAGGCAACATGTTTTAAGCGCTCAAAAACAGGGACCCCATTGTCAAGACTTGCCAGACGTGAATGAGAAGAAACATAAGTGATTTAAAATATTTAAAAAAAAGTTGCCACTGAGAAATTTAAAAATATAGATGAGAAACAAAACTAGAAAAACCGTAGTAGCTGAGAGAGAGGAAAAAGATGAAAAACAAAACAAGAAAAAAAAAGAGGGGCATCTGTTTTAGAGCACTTGAAGCATGTGGATTGTTATTTCCGATTTATATATTTTTGGTGGGAATTAAGTTTTTAATCAGTTAACATCTTGCCATTTCATTTTCCTTCTTATTTATTCAACATGGAATGTACTTGACTAAAAGACATTTTTTCCGCTATAAAAATAACAAATGTTAAATAAATATAGATTTTTCATGATATTTAAAAATTGGTGATTTCTAATTTTGTCTTAATAAGGATAAACTGTATTTTATTTTTAGAAATATTATGAATTTACACATCAATAATTAATTTTATGAGCGCATCAAATGTATTGTATAAAATTTTATTAAATGCACGGAGTGAAAAAAAATGAATCATATCATACAGTACATATCAAATTTAAGTATCAATCTTATTAAAAACATTAAAAAAATAGTCGGTATGCTCAGTCTTAAATATTTAAACATTATCAACTTAATTACAATCACAAAACATTGATAAAATGCTTATTAAAATGCTTAAAAATATGTTACTTAAAATAGATTAAAACTTTACAATATTAAATCATCTACCTTTTCAAAATAGCACCAAATATGGTTGTTTGGGCCTTATGTTAATACTTGGAAATAATAACCACATTTCTTGGCACACATAGTTTACACATAAATTTTTAAACTGAAAAATTTTTAAAACTGTACACATTTATGAACATTACATGTGAAAAAAGTTATCTACAAAGTAAGGCACAAAAGGTTATTTACAGATGATCAACTCAAAATGTATTATACAAAAACATCAATTCAAAATAGAAAGGAGGGAATATTAATTAAATAAACTAATGTATTTATAACGAAAAAAACACATATAACTATAACAAAAATTATGAAATAGTAAGATATAGAAAAAAATTATAAACTGTACAACTTAAACTAGTTTTTTAAACAGTTTCAATCACCAGGAGAAACATGCAGAAAAGTATTATATAAATCTATAAATTAAAATAATAAATTTTATTTGACAATCAAATTAACAAAGAAAAATAAATTAAAAATTGGTTGGGAAGAAAAAATTAAGTCAACTCTGTCCTTATTATTATTATTCTATAATAGTTTATCTATTACTCTTCTATTATAGTTAATTTTACATGAATTTTTAAATTGATTAAGCTAAATTTAAATGTAACTTAGCTATAGAAAGTGTGAGTTTGGTATGCACTCACTTTCAGTCTTAAACATTATTTCTAAATAATAAATTTGAAAAAAATATAAATAATTTTTTAAAAAATTAAAATAATAGAGTTTTTTAAAATATAAGTCATCAGATAGTAAATAGAAATGCTGTATACAACTAGAAAAAATTGAAATTATAAAAAAAATGTGTAAAAATTTGCAAAATGAATAGATATTTTTTTTTTAAAAATTTACAAACAACAATAACCTATCTCATACAAAAGCGAAGGAGAGAAAAATATAAATTTTACGCATTTAATTACATTAAAAATATATAATATGCAAATTTTTTATGCTTTAAAAATTAGTATCTTTTAAAATTATTAAACATCTGCTTTTTTTTATGCATTAAATTAGTTACTTTATTATTAAATGTAAAGTATATGTCTAGTTTAGTAACTAAAAATCTCAAAATGTTTACATACTTAATAAAAAAATTATTAATAAATTCAACACTTTAAAAATTTATTGTAAAAATATATTAAAAGTAATTTTTTTAAAATTCCTTATTTCACAATACAGCCATACAAAATTTCTAAAACCAGTTATTTTTCATGAACATTTTACACAATATATAAATGCTCTCCAAACTGGTTCTTTAATATCACATTTTCAACAACAGGTTCAACAGGTTGAGCATATTGGAAATTGGCTAATTATTGTGGTCTGCTTCAAAACAGGAAAAAGTACTTCACGATTTCAACCAATCACAGCAAGAGAAAAATTCCTCGAAAAGCTCAAAATTATGGCAGCCATAAATATACGTATGGTATCACCTTACACACATCACAGTTTTGAATGGCAAAATCTTGTTCGCCCTGATGTGAAGGAGTGACGTTTTGTTCTATAAACTTGAACACAACATGGGTTCCATTTTGATTATCGCACAATGCACAACCTTCATTAAAAAGCACATAAGAAGTTTTATATATATTCCTTTTCAGATGTGGGAGCCCGTTCATAACCAGGCTTCTTCCTTTTAAAGAATCCACACTACAAGACAAAATATATACATTTAATTTATAGTAATAGCAATAGCCTGACAAGTAATAGCAATAACCTATCAAGTAGTAGCAATAACTAGGGCTGCAAGTTTGTCGTGGGAAAAAAGACCCCAAATTCGCGGAAAAATCGCGGGAAATTTTGAAAATTACACAAATTCTAAACATAAAAAAATTTATTACATAAATGATGCAAAAGACAGAAATTGTGCAAATAATAAAAAAAGCTTAAAAATATACAACAAACATTTAAATGAACATACAAACATTTAAATGAACAGAATTTTGGTACAAAGTATTGTACATTATCAGATTATTCTCATTTATGCTTCGTCTTTCATCACTTAATACATTTATATACTTAGAAAACGATCTTTCTGCGTCAATGCTGTTTTTAGGCACTGACGAACTTCGAATTGCCACTTTTGCCAATTTTGCAGCGTTCGAACTTTGATTTCCAAAACTCTATCAATTTTCCTTCACCAACTCGCAATTCCTTGACCGTTGCTTTGTAAGAAGTAATTGCTGTGAAAACTCAAACATTCTACATTCAAACTACTAGTTACAAGTCCCTACTAACAACTTCATCTAAGAAACTGATCCATATTTAAGAAATCACAAGAAGACGCCTAGGAAAAATTAACTGGATATGTAGAAAGGCAGTAGAAATTTCATTGCCCAGTGCAATAGCATGTATAACAATTTTTCTGTCAAAGATTTGATTTATAACATTTTCCTTCTTTTGTGATTCCAATTTCTTTTGTACTCTTACTGACTTCAGGAAGGTAATTACCCTCCCTAAGTGTAGAAAGACCACCTTAGTTGACAAGATTGCGATTATCTCTTATCTCTGAACTATTTTCATGTCATTTTGCTATTGATTCACTCCCCTAAATATCTAATCAATTTTACATGTTCAATTTAAGGTTCAGGAAAATAAAAAATTCTGTTTAATAAAGATAATAAATAAAAAATGAAGAAGAAAAATTTAAGCAATTTTCGCGCAAGTCAAAACATATTGAGAAATTCGCGGATTTTAGGAAAAAATATGACAATTTCGCGGAAATTCGCACCGCGACAGACCTGCAGCCCTAGCAAAAACCTATCAATTAATAGCAATAACCTATCAAGTAATAGCAATAACCTATCAAGTAATAGCAATAACCTATCAAGTAATAACAATAACCTAACAAGTAATAGTAATATCCTAATAAGGGAATCCGCTATAAGAAAGGTTTATTCACAACAATATAGAAACATTCCCTAACAACAATGATTAATTTAATAAAAAGGAACTTTACACAGCTGATATAAAATTTCACCTCATGGTTGCTGAGCAACAGACATCATTGATACTGCCTCCTCACTAGAGAGCATCAAATATGCCAAAAACTGTAGACAGGACACGAAAATAAAGTTAGCATGCGTAATTTATCATTCCAGAAAAATAAATAGGACCCTATTTGCTTTGGTTTCAGTAAAATTAACAAAAGTAATAATAAAAAAAAATTTTTTTGCAAAATTTCATCTTATTAAAATTAGAAGAATAAAACAATTGCATGAGTATCAAACTATAATGTTACTTTTCTTCAAAGCAAGTGTTTGAGTAGTTCCACATAATTTAAAGCCTCGATTCTTCAAATACAATCCCTTTTTTTGTCTATAAATAGATAGAATATCTACTGATGTGCATAGAAATTAAATGGATAATAAGATAGATAATTTGTTGCCTGCTCACTATGACAGAACATTTGTATCATTTTACTTTAAATCCTGGTGATTTCCTCCTCCCTATTCTAATATTTTAAATATCATTTAAAATACAAATTTATTTTATTTCACTTCTATCACAATATTGTACTTTTAATTGCAATCATTATTAGTAAATTCATTTTTAAAAACTTTGCTTTGCCAAAAACCATGAACACTAGTTACATTTTGAAACTTTAAATCTAAAATATTTAATTTTTAATAATAAATTATTTATATTTAAGCATATTTAAAGTCATTTGCATGTTAATAAGATTTAATAAAAGTACAAAATATGAAAGAAACCCATACCTTCCATAAGATGATGATAAGTAAAATGAGCAAAAGTATTCCAGCACAAGCTGCCAATATAATGATCCATAAAGCAACTTCTTCAGTTTTTTGAAACAACAAGATATCAGGATAAGCTTTTGTTTCAGCCTGAAATTAAAAAGGAAATTATGGTACGATGTAATTGAATAAAAAAAAGCTCTAACATATTATATTATAATAATTTGGGCAATGTAAGAAAACATTTTTCAGAAATTTCTAAACATATAATTTATGTTTAAATTATTTTGAGAACAGAAAATCTCTTCAGATATTGGTTAACAAGTAAAATTCAACACTATTTTTCCAATAAATACTTGATCTTAATTATATTTTACTATATAACTGTCATTAAACAGCCAACCCAATTTTTTGGGTTTATAACTACTAATGTTCAACTCTGTAGCCTTGTAATTTTGAACTGAATCCAGGAGACAAAGGAACACCAGGATCAAGTATTAGGAGATATTTGTCTTCATGGAGGACTTTTAGATGGAACTAACCCGCATTTGGGTTACATGGAGAGGAACACCATGAAAACCTCTCAGGGTTAGTCTGACAGCAAGGGCTAACTTATGATCTGTCCACCACTGAGAAGATTTTATGTCAGCACTGTGGTTGCTGCAAGCCGTGAGCGGAGTTTGTATCGACCAGCCATCGCTGGGATTCAACGTGATTCCAATCGTTGGGAAGCAAACGGTCTATCCCCTGAACCATCACGGCTCTAGACAATTATAGACAAGACTACATATTAATTTTAAAAAATCTTAACTGCATTTAATCTATTTTCACCCTCTCTGATTTGTACTAATGCCATGGATAAAAATCAATATTGAATGCTCAATGCAATTTTAACAATCGCATAAGATACTTACCAAAGCAAAATCATTACTATCTTCTTGTTTTATGTCTTCAGATATAGTTCTAATAAAAGCTCTAGAGACTATGCTCACCCAATCAACATTTGGATAATCCTGTAAATTTAATTAAATATGTTATTCAATTTGAATTGCAAATATAATATCTTCTATAAAATTTCTGACGACAATATATATTAAAAAAATTTATATTTATATTAAACTGCTGTTTGTAGAAAATGCAACACCATGAAAGAATCATCAGAATCAAATGAAATTCGCAGCAAATGTCAATTATAGGATATTANAAAAAATAATCACAATGAAAAATATAAAAAAGTCAATTTTTGTAGAAAAAAAATTTTTAGTATTTAATGTATCATCATTAGCAATAATTAATGGCTACAGTCAAAACAGCTGCAATAATAAGACAATTTAGCATTTTTTTTCTACTTTTACATCTTTGAAGAGGTTTGAAATAGTAAAAACTTTAAAACTTACTGACAAAAATTAAAATTAAACATTAAATATAAGCTATTATTTCTCTCAACTATAAAAAAGAATCATTTACTATAAACTAATATTATTATAAAATTAAAGAATTTATACATCTTAAAACATCTTTCAAAACAATTACTTTAATAACTTAAAAATAAATTTTTAATAAAAGTAAAAAAAAACTATTATTTAATTATAAATAAATATAGAAGCTATTATATAAAAATATTACAAGTATTCCTTAAAATATTAAAATAATAATTACTTTATATACAAAATGTTACATTAGTGTGGCAATGTTTCAAAGAACCCAGATACACTAATCAGAAATACTAATGACTACCCCATTAAAATTAATAATAATTTCACGTCATTCTAAATTTACAAGCATTCTTTCATAACTTGGCTTTCAAATGCTAAACTATTTGCACATATTTTTATTACAAAAATTTGACTTCAAAATGTTTTTTCTAAGCTAATAATTAAACTAGATACAAGTAATGAAAAGTTATGATAATTAATAACTCACTTGAACAAAGGTGCTGTTCCATAACCTTGCTTTAATCCTTATAACAGCAGTGCTATCTCTCTCTAAACTTCTAAACATACAAGTGAATTGAGAACATTTTGCAGTACCTGCATCACAATCCTAGAACATGATATATTGCATAAATAAACAAAAAAAATATAAGTATAAAAAATTTGAGTTGTACACTGAATTTGACTAATTATTTTGACACAAATTCAAACAAATAAAAATTCGACATAACAAAATATGTTAACAATATGCTATTTTCTAAAAAAAATTAAATTTAAAATTAATTCTACTTTAAACATTTTTTATAACATAGAAAAAAAACATACATTGATAGAATTATTTTCAAAGATATTACTACATTTTGCACCCTTAAATTAATTAAAAATTATATATGTCAACACAATTTAAGAATATAAGCAAAGTGTAAAATTAATTGTTTTCCAACACCTTGTTTCAGTACAATATTTCTTTTTATAATTTAAATATAATATATTTAAATTTTAAATAAATAATAAATATTAGTAAATAAAAAAAACTAGAAACAAAAATCAAGAAAAAATTTCATTGAAAAAAAAATAATTTAAAAAAAAAAAAGCAAACTTTTTTATCTGACATTTTAAAGAAAAAAATTTTGAAAAATATTTTTACCAAGTTAACAACTTTGACAATTTTTCCATCCATTCTTAATTCTTGGGGTTGAACTTCACGTTTTGATCTTTTCTTATATGAGCGGTAAGGAGCTAATCTCAACTCTTCAGGGTGTCTCTGAAAGACAAATATTTTTATTTATTAAGATCTATTACAAAAAAATGACTGTGTGCAATTAAATTTAATAAAATCTAATTAACAATTAACTTACTTTTAATTTTAAAGGGTTCAACAGAGAATCATCTAATTCACAATAGCCATTACCAATAACCTACAAACAAATAAATAAAAAAAATTATACACTTCCAGAACACTAAAAAAGCAGTTAATATTTTACACTTCCAGAACACTAAAAAAGCAGTTAATATTTTACACATAAATTTTACTTACATCTTTGCACATACAAGAATATTTCCTTACAAGACATGGATAAGTAATTTTTGTCAACAAATTTAGGCACAGATATGTAAGTAAAGAAAAAAAAAAACATTTTTTTTCTTAAAACACAAAAAGGAGACCATGCAGCTCTGCCATGACAAGTTACGTAACTCTGGGCATTTCATAAAACTATTTTCACTTTTTATAAAGTGAATGTTATAATTGTAAATTATTTTTGCTTTAATTTCTTTGGTTTGATTGATTGATTGATTGAATGTAGGGTTTAGTGGCACAAAGTCCAATTTCTTTGGTTTGAGGCAAATCAGGAACTATCATATAAACAAGCCAGAAGAAAGAAAATTTTCTACCTCTGGATTTTCAACAATGTATAAAAGTCTTTTGCCTTGTTGGTAAGAGTCTGCAGCTTCAACTGGCCAAGATACTACCACTTCAACTCCTGTTGCCAACCAAGGGCCATGATTTATAACCTAGAAATAAATAAACTTCAATTATTTGTATTTAAAAAACAGAATGTTCTATTTTTTTAAAAGTAGATAGTAAATAAAAATATAAATATATAGTAAGCTAATAAGTTTTCAAACTATGTCTAGTTATTTTTTTTTAATTCTACAGTAGTTGAGAGAAAGTGAAGAAAGACAAAATATACATAGAATATATTTAATTAAAGATCAATATTCCCCCAAGATTCGATCTTCCATATGAAGATGAATTAAAATAATAGGTGTGTTTCACAAGTTGATTATCAATTTTCTCATTAACTTATTAACATATTTGAAATTAAAGCCAAAGATTCGAAAAGTACTTTAAAAAAGAAAAATCTGAATAATCATTAAAGTAAAAGTTTATTAAATATCAAATTCTTACTCTAAGTATAAAAAAAAACATATATAATAGACATTTTAAAGCCAATTTTTAAGTACTTGAAAAAATACAAAAGTATAGAGGACAAAATTCTGATAAAAATTCCGTTAGTTTTACGGCAATAAAACCTTAAATCACTTCAATAATACTCAAATTCAATAATAATCAAAATTTTACAAAATTATACCACTAATTCAATTCCTACATATAGAGCAAAACCTTACTTTAAATCATATTTTTTTAAAAATTAAGTAAAAATGCATCTGAAAAGTTCAGGTTGTTTACCAACTAATGAAATCAATGTTTTTTGTCAATCAAAAATATTTTTAAAACAATATTAAGTGCAATTTTCTTGCATCCGATAAAGTTCTATGATTCATAATTAATATTCATATCATAAAAGATCAATATTATAGAGGAAAAAAAGAACTATCGACGATAATTACCTCATAATATAATAATACACGAATATAATTACCTCATAATATATTAATACATGAATATAATTACCTCAAATATGTGGACAACTTCACTACCTACATCATCAATATAATTTGGCACTCGAGTAGTGTCCCCTCCATAGAAAGCTTGCTCAGGTTGAGATGCCCTGGAACACAGCAAAATTAGCAATTTTTATAAATAATCGAAGCATGATAGTTTTTCTTTTAAAATAAAGTCATCTTTCTTACCCTCTGATTTCTAATTCAGCAACTTTCACTATGCCGGCTTCAATTGTGATGTCCTCTCGAGGTAAATCCTCTACGCTTGTCCTAATAAATATTCAATAGTTCAGAATTCAGATTAGAATTAAAAGTGTTTATGTTAATTTCTACACATTTTGATAAAGATATTGAATAATTTAAAAGTTCAGAATGATATGAAACAAAATGAAAAGAAAATGTTATTTTGATACATAATTTTTTAATTTTTTTTTACTCATTCTGATAAAAAATAATGCGTAATTAAAAATGCAAGTCAAGATTTATTGCTTTTAAAACAGAAATAACCTACGTGTTGACTTTCACGCTCATTTTCAAACTTCTTTCATCAGGACCAACATCTTTTGGGTTGAATCTAACTTGTAGTTCCACCTTTAAGAATATAATAATAAATATAAATAACCATAAAATAATGTAATAAAATAATAATTAAAATAAGTTTCCATAGATAAACCATCAAAAATTTTACCATAAATACTTTATTTGAAATAAAAACATTATAAAACAATTATATCAAAGCTAAGGTGTCTTGATTTGAATGCAAAAAATTTTCTATGTATTAAAAAATATAATATTCTTTTCCTTATAATAACTAAACAAAAATATCTATAATCCAAATTAGTATACAACATTTAAATTTAAATGACAATTTATTACATTTTTGAAACAATTTCAACAAGTTTTACAATTGAAAACTAACTTTTCTTGTATTTATTGCTGGCTCTTTAATTAGTATTCCTTCCGAAAGAAAATATTCTTCTAAACAAACATTCTTAACACTTTGTTGATCATCCTTTTAAAGTTTTCTGAGGTCCGTTTTCCAATCTATTTTACATCAAACATACAGTTCCTACTACTACGATTAACTTATTTTGATAATAAATTAATTTTAACAAACAATAATTTAACAAATATATTGGTGTAAATTCTTGAATAGTCTACAGTGAGGTGTAGAAATATAGAGAGTGGCGGTAATTCATTCATGTGAAGCCTAACTTTCAAAAAATATCTCTAGATTATAAACTGACTCAACTATACACAAACACTTCAAAGAGTTCACATTTTTGTAAAAATTTAAGATAGATTAGCATAAATGAGATAACACTAATTAAATTTCCTTACCTCATTATCTTTAAGAGGATTTCCTAATTCACATTTCACAGTAGTTACATTAAAAGGAACACATTCTATCTGATCTCCTTTCTAAAAATTAATATTCCATGAATTAATAAATTCATAATAAACTAAAGTGAAAGTAAAAAAAAAAATGAATATTTAAAAATTAATACCGTATATTCCGGCGCAAAACGCGTCCCGGCGTATAACGCGCACCCGTGATTTCTAAAAACTATTTTTAAATTTTAAGATACACTCTTCGTATAACGCGCACGAAAATTTGGATTGTACATGTGCAATATCTCATCTAGTATCAATAGAAAACCAGAAAGCCTTTTAGTGTGGGACATGTTTTTGTTCCACCTCACAAATACAAAAAAAATTGTCGAAAGAATGTAACACCGATATGGCAGTTATTCCAGGTAGATTAACACCATTTCTTCAGCCCTGCTTAAACAAACCATTTAAAGCCAATTTAAGAAAACAGTGGAACACTTGGATGTAGGAGGGCGAGAAAATCTTTACTAAAGGAGGACATATGCGCCATGCAAGTTTGGAAACAGTGTGCGAATGGATATTAAAGGCATGGGATGAAATTAAGCCTGAAATGGTTAGAAAATCATTCAAAAAATGCAGCATTTAAAATAATCTGGACGGATCAGAAGATGACTGTTTATTTATGGATGAGGATAACACAGATGATGAAGACGAAACAGATTGTGATGACGTGCCTGAAGAACTAACGGAAGACGAATATAATGAACTATTTATGTAATAACGAAAATCAATAAAGTATATAGGTAAAGGTATGTTAGTTCTTTAAAATAAAAGTATTTTTCTATATTTAAATATTTTTTTAATCTATAATTTTTTATATTCGGCGTATACCGCGCACCCGTACATTCCAATGTTATTTTTTGTATTAAAAGTGCGCGTTATACGCCGGAATATACGGTATTTAAAATAAATATTTAAAAATGAATTCCAAATCAATTTATTACAAGCATTATTATTATATTTGCTTAGATTCTGATTTTAAAAGAGAAAGCAAAACTTGTTACGTAATATTAATATTTTACACCAATATTCAAATTTTCACATAATTAACAAAAAATAATAAAATTTAAGATTTAATTTAAAGACATTGATAATTAACTGAATTTAAAAGGACTATCAGACTTATTAGCCAATTGTTAAGAGAATTCCCAAATATTATTTTAAATTTTTGATAGTTCCAACCCATATTTGATGTGAAAAACATAATCTAGCTTTTTCATAGTATTTTCTAAAATAAACAATTGATAATTTTTTTTTATCACAAGAATTAGAGAAAATACAAACACTTACAACCACTTTTTTTCCGACAAAGCTAAGGCTAGGTGGATGAAAAACATACAGCATAGCATCATAGGCAGGTTCTCGGGTATTCATTACTTTGACTGATAATGCAAGTTGCTTTTCACCCAGGAACAATATTGGCTTTCCTTCATCATCTCTAAATCATAAAAAAGCAAACATTTTTAGAACGTAAGCTTCTTAGATTTTAAAATGAATTTCTGTAAAATTGAAATTACTCGCGCAAAATGAAATACGATATAAAAATACACTTTTGAAACAAAAGAATATAACCAGTGGCGGATCCAGGTCACCCCCCAAACTGAAAAAATAAGTAAATAAATAATTTTTTTAATAGTTTAAAAAAGAAATAAAATATTTTAAAAATTTGTTAAACTGTTTCAAGAATCATAATCCAAAAGAGTAATAATCCGAGTATTTTTACCTCGTCAAACTGTTACAGAAGAAGATCTTGTAGTCATTCGTAAAACTGCCGAGTTTTATAAGAATCTCTTAAATGCTTCCGTAAAAGTTGTCGAAACAGAATTTCGTCCTTGGATGGCAAAATGGCAGCTAAAAAAGAAGCAGAACTAGAAGTGCCCAATGATCTTTCCAAGATTATTAATGCTTGTGACATTGATTTGTATCCATCAGTCAATATGTTGTTGAGAATTTTAATAACACTGCCAGTTAGTGCAGCAACAGCAGAACGCTCCTTTTAAACGCTGCAACGTCTCAAAACTTGGCTTAGAGGAACTCAAAATCAAGAACGATTAAATGGACTCGCATTATTAAACATTCATCGAGAAATTGATTTGGATGTTGAAAAAATCATTGACAGATTTGCCAAAGTGTCTAAAAAACACATTACATTTATTATTTAAAGATTTTGAATACTTGAATTATTTATGTATTGTTCAGTATGAAAAAAATAAATGAGAAGACTAGCATTAAAAACCCCAGTTTTTTTTTTTTTTTTCAAAAAAAATATTTAAAAAAAAAATTTTGTAAAAAAAATTTATTGTGGGGGGGATCTGAGTCTATAACCCCCCCCCCTAGAAAAAATTTCTGGATCCACCCCTGAATATAACATATACTACTTTTATAACATAACATTCATAATTTAACTAACAATTAAAATCTTAGTTCTTAGATTAAGACTGAATAAATAAAAAAATTTATTATATATAAATCCATATATGGCAGCTTAAAAAAGAAGGGTTTATTATTTCTTGTCAATGAAAAATAACATTCCAAAAAAATACAACTAATAAAAAATAAAAAATTTTAAAAAAATCCCTTATTTTTTTACAGTAAAAGTATAACTAAATTTATTTCCTGAAATAAAAAAATTTAAATATATACTCTGTTCAGCGAGAGCCAATGGTGAAAGAAAATGCAAAGGTTTTCAGCTTATCACCAACCTTACCTAGATCTGCTAGTTCTTTGCTGTCTAATTCTTTTCTTACTTACCACTGGTCAGGTTAATGCTCCTTGTCTTAACTTAGACAACAAACAGCTACAGCTAATGCCAAGTATTTGGTGATTTCGCTATCAGTTCTCATTGAACTAAGTATAGTATGATAATTTTGATATTGGCAATCATCTTAAATTTTTTATATAAAAATAAAGTTCACTATTTTTTTTCAGATGAAAATTATATTCTTAATATTATTCTGAAAAAAAAACTCAATTTATTTTATTATTTACTTATATCTTTCATACTTAATTTTAAAAATTTAAATATTAATACAAAATTTTAGAAAAAGAAAAGATGCAAAAAACTGTATGGAAATTATAGGTATTTAGAGCTTTATTTTTTCAAACTCTTTCATTTAGAAAATTATTCAGTAATTTTTACTTCTAATAAAAGATTGATTAAGTTCTTGTATTTTCGTTAAATTTTCAATAAATCATCTCATTAGTATACAAATGTTTAAAATTATTTAGAACAAAAAATAGTAAACAATTTAAAAACAAATACAACCAAAGAATAAAACACATCCTATAGTTGCAGTCACCAATCAAAAAACATTTAGAGGTATTTGCGAAAATATTCAGCTCTAATTTCCATACATTTAAAATTAAATAAAGAAGTTTAAAAAAATTCTTGGATATATACCAAAATTTTAATATTTTATTAGTTTTTGTTTTAGAAGATTTATACTATTGTTTCTTGCCTTAACAAAGATTTAAGTAACATTAATTTAAACTACATTGAATTCATGTACGTTTAAATAGGAATTAATTTAAAGGAGAAAAAAGTTAGAACTTATTACTTTGAAATGAGATTACTTACTTTGTTAGATTTATATCAACAATAACATTCAGGTCACTTTCACAAATATCATTTGAGCCACAATCTTTCAGGAATTTAGCCTGGAAAAAATCCAAAAGAAATTGTATTAAAAAATAATTAAGCTTATTTTTCATGAAAAACAGTTTCTCTTAAAACAAAAACTTCTTACTTTTTTTTTCATTTTAAAAGTAAGAATAAAATTAAACCAGACATTAAATCAAAAATATTTTTTACAAATATATCTTTTGCCTAATAATAATAACAATAATTTTTAAAAAAGAAAACAAACTAATTTCCAAACTAGAAGGAAATCAACTACAAATTTAAGAAACAAACTTTTACAAAATGGTAGCACATATTTCCAGAAATTACATTGCAGTTGATTTCTGCAGGTTTCAAATTAGGGGATTTTAAAACTTGCTCAGTATAGTAAAAATTTTATATTAAGAACACTCAAATCAACCACAATAATTTATGTTTTTTTGTTATTAAATTTGTGAATAAAAAAAATTACAAGCAATTTTTTTTTACACTTGAGGATGGTTTAAGCCCTGTTAAACTATGTACTTATGATTTGTAAATTCTTATTTTCACAATATGTTATAATTTAAACTACAACTTTAAATTATAAGAAATATAACAACTCCAGATACTTTCTTTTGAATTCGAGTGACATAAATATGCTAACTACAGGAATGAAAAACAATTTATGACATAAACATAATACAGTTGGGAACCGATTATCCGGAACGGTCGGGACCATCGCTATTCCGGATAACTGATTTTTCCGGTTTTCCGAATCGCTACAAAAAGCCGTTTTTTTTATTGTTAAATCCAAATAAAAAAATAGTTGGAAATAATCTTAAAAATAAGAAAAAACGATTAAGTAATACAATAATGATTATTTCCAAAATGGTAAGGTAAACATCTTTAAAAAAAGAGAGAAAAATCGTAAAATCTTCTGAGTAAAAAAAAAAAATTTTTTTTAAATGGCGAGAAATTTATCGAATTTTGTTCCGGTTTTTTGGTTCTCCAGTTTTCTGATTTCCAGATAACGGGCTCTGTACTTCACTTCAAAAAAAATTTAATATTTCTTTAAGGAAAACAAAAATAATTAAATTAAATTGCAAATATGTTGGTGAACTTGTTTTAAAATATGTTTAATGCTCGGATGACTAATCCACAACACAATGTGACCACAAAAGGTGATATAAAAGTTTCAAAGGTGATACAAATTATTTATTTCAAATTTAAAACATACCGAAAAGTAAAAACAAATAAAAATATAAATATTTACTTCAAAAATTTTGGATGCTTCTTGTTGATTAAGAATAGGATAACCATTCAAATCTGGCAATTCTAAACTAAATGAGGGCTGTACAGGATCTTTTTGTATCAGAGAATACGTCAATTTGAACTGTACTGGATTCTGTATATCACTTTTTTCCTATAATAATAATAAATGATTAAAAATAAGATAAATCAAAACATGTCACATATACTTTTTAAAATAAATTTTGCAATTTTTCTTTCAAATTTTAAGTTTCTTAAATGATTGGTTTAATAACTTTTGTTAGAGGTCATTTCATTTTTTACTTAGTTACATCACTTTCATTTTTTAAACCTAAATAATCTTTTTCTTATAAGTTTTTCTGCTAAAACGAAAAAGCATTTTTTTCCACTTCATAAAATAGTGTTTTAAATTTTTTACACAAAGGCAATATATTGGTTCTACTATGCCTAAAACTAGGTTCTAATAAATATAACTTAGTTCAAATCAAAATAATTAGTATAAAATTTTGGGCATTTCATTTAAAAATACTCTAAGTTCACTTAAAAGCCAATAAAAACAATTTAACATATTCATTAAACTATAGTATACACATAAAAAGATTTGCATAATATAAAAAAACAAACAAAGGAAGAATATAAATTTACAAAAAATTAACATGTTATCAAATGTCCATTCAAAAATGGTCATTTTGCCACAGGGTGACACTGACATAAACCCTTGTTATCTCATAGAGCAGTGTTTCCCAAAGTGTGGTAAGCATACCCCCAGGGGTACGGGAACAGTTTAGCCGGGGTACATGTTCGTATGCGAAATATCTTTCAACTAACGAAAATTTCAAAAACTATTATTTAAAAACAAAGTTAGTCATGAAAATTTATGATTACATATTTTTCTATTGGCTATTTTTTGCAGAGTTAACAATTAATAATTAATGGTGTCAACAGTCAGTTGTTATTTTTAACTTTTGTGCAATTTTTTACAGTAAAAAATACATTAATTTTTTATTAGTGGTACACAGCGTTACGAAAAATTTAGAAAGGGTACAAAAAAGTCGTGTTTGGGAAACACTGTCATAGAGGGTTGGGAAGCAAAGTTAATGGAGAAATTTTCAACCCACTGAGTCAGTGATAAATGATAGAAATATGAAATTTTTTATATTTCAACAATGAAAAATTTAAAAGTTTAATTAAGAATAGATTAGTTTAACAAAACTTTTTACACATATCAGCAAAACACAATACAAAAACATAAAACAAAATACAAACATAAAACAAAAGCAATTTTTAACTGTATAATTCGCACTTACAACTATTTGAGTATTTTTTCCTTTCTTTTTTTTAAAATAGCCTACGAAGAAATGTATTAAACTCTTCAAGTGTGACTAGAATAAAATAATGCAATTAATTTAATGTTATATCATATCCTCACCTTTAGATAAACAATTTCCTCAGAACAATGCATTCTACCGACAGAGCTGCCTTTTAAAACAATTTCTTTTTCAACAATGTTTGGTGTGTCACTACTCAAAGAGGATTTAAAACGAACCCTGTAATATTTTCGTCCAGTGAATGTTTCAGCCTCTATTTTGTATTTAAGCTGTTGTCCTTGAGAAGACGATATAGAAGAATTGAATTGAAAACAGGCTTCAAAAGAAAAGCTGGAAAAAAATATATTATTCAGTTACAAAACTAATTTAAACTTTACACTAAATCATGAACATTAAATTAGAAATTTTAATTTTCAATTTTTACCTCAAATATACAGGATAATATTTTATCGCCTACATTTGTTTTTCTCGTGTACGGTGATTGATTACACATTAGAAAGTCGAAAATTTTATTTAATCTTCTGTCTCAGTTTCTTAGAACTCTCAGGTTGTGGCTTTTCCTGGAACTTAAAACTAGTTTCTTCACAATTACTATAAGAAATTAACTATAAAAAATTAATAACTTGATAAAGTTTGTACAATTTGGCTTAGAGATAAAATGCTTAGTTGAAAAGTCAAAATGGTAGCTAAAACAGTGCGCAAATTTAAACTTAAAGTTCTGAAATTTTCAACAAAAAGACAAATTAGGGAAACAGCGTCTCTTAAACAATTCTCCTAAGAATTTCGAAAAGGGGCATACTCTATTTTACTCTATAGAAAATCTTTCTTTTACTGTGAATGTTTTAAACTAAACTATACGCTAATAATAAAATCATTCAAATATGTGCATTGATCAGAAGTCAATATTTAGTGTTTTTTGCAGTTCAATATTTTTTTAAAAACACTTACTTAGATTTGTGGAGTTTTTTTTTAACTTTCAATAGAAGCATGGTAATAATTATACTTGTAAGAAAAAAATAATAAAATTAACAAGCATAATTTTTAATAGTATTGATAGTAACTGTAACTCCTTAATACAATTTACAGTAACCCTATAAAACAAGAAAAAGCCTGACCAATTCACCTGGTGAAAATTGAACATGTTTATAACCTTTGAAACATTTAAATATTGGACTGAAATTGACTACTGTGAAAAGTTACACCTTTTTTTCTTTTAATTTCAGGTGTTTAACTTTTGTCAAATGATAAAATATGCAATCCTCCATGTATGTTTCAGCATATTCTATATATAGAGAGTTCAGCATATTCTAAATTTTCAAAAAACTGGTCAAAATGTATGATTACACATTAAAATTTGGCTTCCTTAAATAGGAGAAGGTAGGGAAAAGATTGCAATTGTATAAAACTAAACACTCAATTTATTAATATAAAAAATGAGAATTTTTTTGTAAGTGTGATTTAGACAAATTGAGTTATTTAAATAAAAACATTAAAAGTTTGCTTACAAAACATAAATACTAAGACACATAATTCTTGACATGAACATTGCTTATTATTATTATTGTACTTTGATTGCATATTCATTATTTTTGTGTGGAACAAACAATTCATGGTAAATAGAGATTTAATTTGTGTATTTATTTATTATTTTTTTAAATCTTATTTTAGCATTCACAGCTGAAAAACATTGTGTATGCATGTCAGACAACTGTATGGCATCTGTGAATGCTAAAATTAAAACAATAAGAAAATAATAGTAAGAATAAAAACTATTCTTATCATTCTTTTTAAATTTAAAATAGAATGCAAGAATAAAAATTATTCTTATCATTTTTTTTAAATTTAAAATAGAATGTAAGAATCAAATAGATGAAAATGCTACTTTAATCTAGGTGTATATATTTGAATCTTTTACCAGTAACGAAGATCAAAAGCTTTACTATAAACAGTACTTAAAAAAAAAAGGTCATACCACACATTAGGTGAGCTTTTGTCCCTTTCACACCCTTTTTCGTCTGGATCGATATTTTGGAGTTGGCCACTTACTGAAGTCACTATGTTTAACACTGGCCTAGATCTAAATTATTAAGAAATATTATTAATTTTTCTTAATAAAAAAAAACACATAATGAACAACACAGCTTTAATAGTTAATTTTTGTTATGAATGTATCCTTCAAAACAGAGAAGAGATTCTACTTCCTCTGTGCAAATCTACAGATTATCATGATTTGCAATCTACATATTCATTAACTAGCTACTTAAAATTTGTGAACATTTTTTGTAACACATTATTTATGGAAATGTGTTCCAATAAACCTAATTACCAAATTTTAGGGTTGAAAATATATCTGGAAATTTGAACTTCGAAGCTCTTGAAAAACCACATGATAGAAGCGAAATTTTAAAAATAAAATTTTAAATATCTAATAATTTCCTAACAGCTTCGGGCATATGGAGTCAAACATTAGCATTAATGACATTACAAAAAAGTAAACCATGTCATATGAAAAAAATATAAACCATATAAAAATATAAAAACCATCTTAAGAAATTAACAAAATACAAGTGAGATATAGACACAAAATAAAATAAATAAAAACAAATATAAGCAGTTGAATGGAAGGAGGTAATATTAAAAATCGAAATATAATAAATTATTTCTTTTACCTTAACATAACTGCTGTATCAGCTTCATAGCATCCAATTAATAAATCTGGATAACCATTACTATCAATGTCCATCCTCCCATTTAGTGAATAACCAAAGGTGGTTAGTCCACTAGCTTCGGCAACGTCTTTAGGGTGAATAACCTGAAATAAAATAATAAATTTAAAAAACTTCTAAAATCGAATAAAATGAACACAAACATTTTGGAATTTTATTATAGCTCATTATGCAAACAATATTCATAATATATTTTTTTTCTTTAAACTATAGTTTGACTTCAAAAAATTTAATTGTTAATTATTCAACCTTTAATTGAGATCTAGTGATATATAATAAGTTGTAAAATGATGCACTCTGTGTGCCCATCAGATATTCAATTTATAATTTGATTGTGTAATTGATTATAAGAAACACTTGAAAAAGATTATAATCAGGTAGAGATGCAATATTCTGATAACTTTTTACCTAGAAAAAATAATATTTTTCATTTAATGCTTACGTTATTTTAAATCAACAGTGCTTACTGCATAGAAACATACACTTGAATATGCAAAAACTTAATTAGTTTTAAAAAAATTATAGTGGAAAAAGTTAATTTTTGAGCATTCAAAAACAGGGGACAATCCTCAAGACTCACTAGAGGTGAATGAACCTTAGGATTATACAATTCATATAAAAGACAATATTTAAATTTAGTTAGAATTAACAAAATTTTTAATTCAATAATACAGAATAATGTTACATTAAATTCGTTATTATTAGTATTGAAATGCTGCAATAACCAAAATTCCTTAATATAAATCCCTTTTTTATAATAAATAAAAAAAGTTATTCAAAAATTTCAAATGGTGTCACATTAAAACATAAACCACTTAATTATTTATACAAAATCCTGTAATACTACTTTTTGAAATCCTACAGGATTTGTGACTTAAAGGTAAATGCCTAATTTGTAAGATAAAAAATTTAAATTTTTCTAACCTTTATTTAAAGAAATTGATAATAAATTAAAATTAACCAGCAGTTTTTATGCTTTTTCCCCAACATTTTAAAATTCAATTTTAAAACTGTCACTACATTTTCCATCTCTAAAATTTTTATAAATATACTTAGAACAAACAATATGCTTACAAACTTAGCTTGTCTTTTTTTTTAAAAAGCACACATGTAAACATTTAAAAAACTGAATAACTTTAAATTTATATAATCACCTGAGATGGAGTAAGAATAACACCTTCAGATGAGCCTGAATAAATATAAACAGCTCCACCTTTCTCTTCATATGGTGCTCCAACCGCCAGATCTGCACAAGAATATTACACGCTTAAAAATTATGAATAACAACATAAAAAAATATAAGTATTTTGATATTGAATAAAGTAAAGAAAATAGATGTAGAATTTGTGGCAATAAAAAAAATATATATATACTTCAAAAATTAATGTACAAATATTAGAGAGGGATTTAATTATAAACACTATTAATATTTTTTTTCATTTTGTTATTTATTGTAATAACAAATTAAAATTTACAATGCAGAATTAAAATAAAAATGAATATTTCTTTGGTAAACTTGTACTCATAGACTATATTAATTTTTTAAATAAATCCTCCAAAAATAGATAATTACTTAGTATAGGTACTTAAAACATAGTTTTTAATTATTAAAACTCATGAATGCATATTCCCTGGTATTTGGTAACTCGATAAACAATTTATAAAAACTAAATATGGTCAAGGTTGAAGTTTGTAAATGTATTGTTTGTAAATTTAACTTAAACAAATATTATTATTGATAAGCAGTGGTTTTTTCTTGCATTATTACTATCATTGTGCTCAGTTCAAAAATTGGATTTAACATAAACATTACAATAGTTTTAACACACACTATAAAGTTTGTTAGAAAATTATTTACAAGTAAAATTGTCAGTTAGATTAAAGAATAAAGAAAAATTTAAAAAAGTTAAGACAATAGTTTTAAATAAAATATCACATTAAATATTAAAGTACCAGGAAATCCATCTTGATTTAAATCACCAGCATTTTCAACAGAAAAACCAAATCTTGATTCGGGTTTCCCAGTAATCTTAATTGGTTCCGTTAACTCTGATAAACCCTGAAAAAAAATAATAGTTTTATAGCAGACGATTTTGTGAGGGATTTTGAAAATAACATTTTAAAAAGCCCTGATTTACCTCAGGAGAATTCATGTAAATATAGACAGCACCACCTTTGCCCTTCTTAAAGTAAAAAGGTGCTCCCACCACTAAATCTAAATACCTGCAAGAATGAAACATTTAAGCTTATTGAAACAATATCGAAATTTATGCAATGTTGCATAAAGAAACACAGAAAAAATAATTATGTATCTGAAGATGTGATATAACAACAAGAAAGAGTTCAAAATAGAAGAAATGAAAATCTAAACAATTTTTAATGTAATGAGTGTTTGCAATTGGAGAGTCAAACAATGATATTCTGAACTCCGAGAGAGATACTAATTTTGTAATATTGAAAATTCAGGATATCAAAATTCAAATATATTTCTTGAATATTCAGTCAACATTCATTCCTGACATTTTCAAATTAGAGTAACATGCATTCATTTCGAAAAACAGTTAACAGTTACTATAAACAATGTCAATACCTTTGCTTTTATGCTTGATTTTAGGTCATGCTGAAATTATTTTGTTTGTCAGCTTCCCTTTCTGGTGCAAACCCAAATGCTGTAACCTCTCTTAATATTTTTGATTCGTCCAAAGCACCACATACCAAAGCAATATTATCCATAATAATCAAAAATAAATATTTTATAAATAACAGTTTCTTTTGGATTCAGTAAATTTGTAAGTTCTTTCCTATTTTAAGAGCTATTTTATTTTATTTATTTCTTATCTATTACTATGTTTTAAAAGTCTACTTCATCAGAAGTGGATGATTCAAGCAACTTCTTTCGAAACACGGCAATCTCCTTTTTATTAGAGTTTTAAGAACTGGTTCATAAGATTATCCAAGAAAAGATCTTGAGAATTGAATTTCAAGAAAGCATTTAAAATTTTTCTGAATTTAAGAAAAATAATTTATTGGCGATAAAAATATTTCACTAAATCTAGTCACTGATAAATGCATTAAGCTGAAAAAGTTTTTTTTTTCTATTAGCAAAGCAAATGCATAAGGTATTTAGATTTTTTGCTGTCATGGAAAAATTTATGTCAACAAAGCTCATGATATCAAAGTTTGACTGCACTATGTTGCAATATAAACCCAAAAAAATGTGCTCAGTATGGATCCAAAGTAATCTAAAAATAGATTTAATTTTCTGTTAATGACTTAGATTTCAATTTTCTGTTAATGACTTATATTCAATTTTCTAGTTATGAGAACTTTTTAATCCCTATCAAGAGTCAGAAATCGATTTAAGTAATTTGTTTTATAACAAAAGAGTTGTCATGTCCAGAATTATAGCTGGACCCCATATGCTTTCTCACATCGGTACAGCTGCATTTATCTACCATCTGCAGTTATATCAAAAAAAAGGAAAATACATGGTTTTGCTTTCTTTGATACACAATTGGCAAATTAACACAGAGGAAAGAAGAATCAAGAAATCACATCAGTTTATAAATGCTCATAATGATTGTACTACATGAGTTACACAATTTCTTACAGGGCATATTATTTTTTTTACAGTGGAAGAAACTTAACAATCATCAAATAATTTTAAGTATTACACAAGAATACAAATAATTAAATACAAATAATTAAACTGTAATAATTAAATATAAATAATTAAACAAGAATACAAATAATTTTAAGTATTAAACAATCATACTTAAAATTAAACCATAACAAATAGTAATTTTTTTAAAATAAAATAAAAATAATTTTAAACCTGATTATATTTTAAAACTGAGAATAAAATACATTGTTTAAATAATTAAGGATTTCAAAAATACAATACTCAGATATATAAACATGAAATCAAAGTAGTGAAAACTTTCTTAATAATTATCAATCATTAAAAAATCACTAAAAAAAATTAACCTACCCATCATTATTTATATCAATTGAGGTAAGTGAATATCCAAATGAAGAAGCAAAGTTGTCTCCACTCAGAATCAGTTGAACATCAAATATAACAGCTTTATTTATTTTTGTGAAGAAAACAACTTGTCCTGTACCATTTGATCGAGGAGCACCCGCAACATAGCTTTGTTTACCATTGAAAAAGGCGCCGGAAGTCACAGCCATACCTAGAATTCAAAATATCTCATTAGAATTTTTTTAAGTTACAATAATTAAACAGAAAACTAATACTCGAAATTTCCTTCAATGAGAAAGATAAAAAAAAAATTTAAAAAAACTGAATAGTATTGAACAAACAAGAAGTAGTTTGAACATACAATTAAATCATTCACCATACTTTTTGGACAAATTCATTACATACTTTTTGTACTTGAAACTGAAAATTCAGCTAAAGAACAAAAGTTTATCGATTTTTGAATATGTTAAGATTATCAGATTTGAAGGATTCAAAAAGATGATGTTACAAGTTGTTTCAGAATTTTTTACAGCTAAGTAAAGAAGTACATTATTGCAGCTAGCTTAAAATAATTAATAGCTGCATCTTATAAAATTAATGTTAAATTAGTTAATACAAGGGGTGATCAAATGAAAAGGTACGAAACGACAAGGTGGGTACAAGTGTAGACTTTATTCAAAATATACACCATAGGCCTGAGCACAATGATCCCACTGATGAACAAGTCACAGGATTCCTTGTTCTCAGAATTCCTGTGGCCGTGACGAGACCCAGTCCTTCACAGCATCCTTGAGTATGTCGTCCGAGTTGAAGCACTTCCCTTTCAGGCGTTTCTTCAGTGGACCAAACACATGGAAATTGCAGGGCGATATGTCCGGACTGTAGGGCAGATGCTCCAACGTCTCCCACTTGAACTTGGCCAGTTCCATGTGTGTGACTCTCGAGACATGTGGACGTGCGTTATCATGGAGCAGAACCACATCCTCTGTGAGCAGTGGACACCACTTTTGATAAGAGCCTCTGCTCTCTCCTGCGCATGCGGGAGCCCGTGCATGCTCCGATCCCAGTCAGAGACTCCAATCGCAGCCCGAGATCTCTCGCTACGCTCTCCCATGGCGGAATATGCAAATACATAACTGTTACGTTTTCATGTTGTTTCGTACCTTTTCATTTGATCACTCCTTGTAACAACAACGCCAGCACATGATCTACGCAGCAACGACACACCTATGCCTCCAACAAGACACATATCGGGAATATGGTCGTGGCCGCAGAGACAAGTTACAAACAATATTTTTTTCCACTGCCCTTCAAGACATACAAACAACACAAGAGTAAATTTAATATCAAAATATAATATTTGATTAAGCCAAAAATTCTAAGACTAGCAACTGAATTCAATGTTTAAAGTTAAATGCACAGCAATGTTTTAAAAAAAATTGATAAAATTTCAACAGTATTTTGAAAATATTTAAATCTTTACGCAAATGGTGATGAAATTATGAGCAAACAGCGTCGTACCTTAAGCTGATTTTGGGATTGAAAATTAAAGGATTAAATTTCATGTCAGTTATCCTAAAACTGAGAAATTATTCAAAAAATCCTTTAAAGAACAACAGGAAGAGAAAGAATGGTTTGCTGTGTTCTGCTTAACAAACTAAGATTCATTCTCATCGATTTTCTATTCAGTTACTAAGTAAATCATCAGATGGCACTGGGGAAAAACTACAAAACAACATTTTCGGCTGCAAGTCTCATTATTTTAACTGAAATAATTGCTCAGACATCTGTTAATTATGTCCTCAGACTGCTTACATTGTTGTTGCAAAGGGTATTTGTTTCAAAAATATTGTTTTATAGGTTTTTTTAATTAACAGTATTGTCCGTCAATAAACTTTTTAACTAAATTTGAAACTTGGTGAGAAAAACTATCTTGTTTTACTAAACAGAATGCACCAAAACATGTTTCTATTTTTGTCTTCTAAGTGAAATTTATACAGGTTGGCAACTTATGCATTAAAAAATTTTATTTTATACTTCATTAAAAATTTATTTCATTTTTTTTTACATCAGTTAATTTTTTTAAACTTATAAAGTGATCTCACTATACATGCATTTAATTATAATAACCCACAATAAAGTATAGATCAAAAATTAAAATTAAAAAGTCTAAAATTTACAAAGCAGATTTATTAATAATAAAATTAACTTTAAAAAAATCAAAGTCTATTTTACTCACCGAGATAGCTGTACTTATCAACAGGAGAAGCATCTTCCATAATTGGACCATAATACCAACGTTTATCATCACGAATTTTAAATGAAATGCTAGTGGTAAATACTGTACCCCGCCATGTAAAAGGACCAGGTGTACCAACTACTATAGTGTTCCCCTGTAACAATATAAAATAATTTTAATATAAATACAAAGAAAAAGAACACAGTTTTAGGACACTTTTAGCAACTAAATTATTAAAATCAGAGATTTCCAGAAAATTAAATTACTGGCTGCGAAATCAAAAACAGGAAATACTCCAAAAATAATCAGTGAAAAACACTTTCAAAGGCCTTGATAATACACTTAGAGGAGTTCATCAAATGTATGTATGCATTGCTTATAGAAAATGTTTTTGATTTTTTTCAGTATCACTATAATAATACATGAAATTTGAAAAAAAAATACAGTTCAGACTAAACTATACTTAATCAAATTAAATTATAAGAAATTTTTTGGCCTAAAATTAAATACATTAATCAAAATATATTTTTTAAAATTTTTCTGCCTCTGCTTTTCTTTTTAAAATTAACTACAAAAATTGAAGTTATGAATAATAAAATAGCTAATTATTATAGTTAGAAATTATAATTATTCAAAATATTATAAATTAATCAATTTAAAAATATATATTTATGATGCCTGTAAATATTTATAATGTACAATGGATGGTTGGTTGATTGTAAACAAAAATAAGCTTCCTAAAATCCGAAGAAATTTAAAAAACTTCTGGTGTATCCTTCCGCTTATGTTATGCTTACAAGGCGATGTGTGAACAGGCTTAATATTCCAGGAAGTTTAATTTTCGTAATTTTTTTTTTCAAATGCATGTGAAATTTTACCATTTATAGGAGTTTTCTGTAATTTATAAATTCTAAAAGGTCATGACCCTAAAACAAATTTAAGTAATTTAATATCACAGTTTAAGGTTTGCCACATTCTGAGCGTTATCCCTTATTTTGCTATAATTATGTAAAATATCACCATTTGTTATTTTTTGTTTAGCATCATAGCATGATGGTGGAAACTTCTGAATTCATTTGTTATTTGTTTCAGTGAACATTTAGTTGAAAGAACATGTTATATCGAGAACACTACAAATGTAATAATATTAAATGACGCACTTCTCCAAACTAAGGAGTAAAAATCAATCGGCAGTAGTAATCTGTAAGTCTTACAACGAATTTGAATCACTACCACCATCTGCTCTTCGCTTTAAATGGTCAACTATCTATACAATCAAAATTATTTATTTATTTTACACAAATAAACTTCCAACAAAGCATTTTTATATTATCACTCCGGAATCTAACCTAATAGATAAAATACTTAAAAGGTGACCTTAATATACAAGTTTAAAGATTTCTAACCAATAAATTTTTAAAATACATATTTTGCATTAACACACACACATAGATATATATACATATATATAGCATAATTGAAAAGCTTAGAGGAAGAAACAATTAAGTAACACTTAAGTGAATTTGAGTAAATGAATGCTTAAGTTTTTACATTACTAATTTTTCAATAAAAATAATGCAGTTTCATGCAAAAATGACACATTTTAATTTATAAAAATATTTTTCATAATATAGGTTACCGCTTCACAAATTTCTGCCGCTGAGCACTAATCCACTCAGTGAACATGCAGTTTTTTTTCATTCTCAACTTCTTAACTTTGATTTTAGAAGACAAGAGAACACCTGTTTAAAGAACAAAGTCACATTCACCTTCAAGAAGAATTCTTTCAAATAGAAGTAATCAACAATTGGGCAAAATGGAGGTAAGAACTACAAAAACCTTTTGTGATTAGTCCGATGCCAATGGAGCTCTGGTATGCTTCTATCAAAGTATAATTTGCAACAGCAATGCAATTTTCACCAACAGAGAGCAAAAGAAAGTTTAACTATCTATCTCCGCTGAGCCATGCCGATTTTTATGAAAAAGTTGGATTTAGTTTTCTCAAACATATAAGTAAGCTTATCATTTTGGATAATAATTAATAATTAAAAATAATTAAAATTAATAAATCATTTGAAAAAAAAACATAATTTTTCCTTAATGTATGAAAGCTGCTTCAAGTTTTTCATTTTCAAAATTTTTTCTGTCCCCGCGCCTTAGCGTTCAATGCCAAGCAAAATTTTCAAGAGTTGTTTTCTGACTATTTCTGATTATAGTCACTTCCGCCCAATGAATACTCAAATAAAATGTCACTTAGTCAATTCTTCCACCGAGTATCTTCGGAATGAATAAATTTAGCAGTAAATAAATGTTATATATAGCTAAAATAAGAACTTTCCCCAAGAAATCTCAATTTTTCTAAAAATATCACTTAGTCGGTTTTTCCAATAAGCTCCTCAATTATAGTAAACATTATACTTACATCAGCAACCATACCACTTGTACCTGCTTGACAGTACCCATATTGTTCATGAGCTTTATTAACAGGACGATTTCTACAAGGTTCAAAAGCCTTTTCAAGTTTTAAATTTTGAGACAAAGAGTAACAAATGCCTTGACCCCATTGATAGTCTGGACCAGACAACACAAATCGGTGGGCGCATGACTAAAATAGAATTATACAATATTTTAGAACTGATATAGTAATGATAACTAACTCAATGATATAAATCAGTAAGCAATAAAATTTATAGTCAAATAATTGTTAATAATATTGCAATAATAATAGTAACAACAATAGTCAGGATTTGCTTCAGCCCACAGAAACAAAATGCTACCCAAAATCATTTAAATTAGGTACAAATGTAATAAAATAAATCCCAGTCAAGTTACTAAGACACACTCTTTAATAATAAATAAAAATACAATAAAAAAATAATAATTCTAAAGAAAGTGGAACAAAGCTTCAATCAGCCTATTTGTAAGGAAGAATGTTGATTGCTCCAAGTAATGAGGAATTTTAAAATAGAACCTTGATTTTTTCAAGTAATTCAAAGTGAACCTACTTCAGATAACATAAATCTTTGAGCTATAGATACAAATCTACATTTATTCTGAAAATCAAGATTAATTTTTCATTACAGAGCTTTACATTTTACCCAATCAATTCTTTCAAGAACTTATAATACTAAATCTTCTTTTTAATTTAAAATTTATTTTTATATCATAAGATATTTTGTACCATCATTGCACCAACTGACAAAAGCAGTTTGAACATAATAGATATCTTTAAAATTTGTAATATTAAATTTTGAATTCAAAAATTCTCATCTGCGGGAAGGGAGGCTCATTTCTTTGCAGTAATTGGTCAAAACATGTTTTTCAATAAGTGAAAACAGCAAAATTCATCATTTTGAAGCTAAAAAAAGGGTTTAGAATTGAACATAGAAAAATACACCATATATTCTATACGCTATTTTCAAAACCCCTGAAGTAGAATTGATGGCATGAAACTGTAGCACTATCGCCATCAAATTCATCTTCGACCTCAATGCTGATTGACAGAGATTATTGTAAAAATTCATCATAATCTAACGTAATTGTAATAAAATTTGTAAATATATGGCCCCAAAAATTATGCCTAAAACTTTTATGATGTTTAAACTTAAGCTGAATTTTGCACAATGAATAAATAAAATAAATCATTATGCAGTAAAGTCTGTAATCAAGTAACAGAAGAAAAAAAATGCTTTAATATTTGTTATTTGCAGTGAGTGTTCTTTCAATGCAGATGTAGTGATAGTTTAATAAAAAAAGTCTCAGCAATTTCCTCCATTTGATTGTTTGCTTTTTAAAAATAAAACTTAGATGAAAAGTAATCTGCAAATGCTCTAATAAACTGTAGTACCCAATAATTAGCTGGAAAGGTTTCTACTACCAGGAAATTAGAATTCAAAAATTAGTTTCAACAATTGCATCAAAATAAAAAATGGAAATCATTGAATTCGAAAAAAATACATTTTAAGTTAATGAAATTTTTCATTTTAACTAAACACACTGATGAGTTACACAATTTGTTTGCTTGAAAACACTTAAGATGAAATAGCCAGTAACATCTAGTTGTTTTTTTTTTAACATAACAAAGAGCCAATCTACTAATGTACATATTATTAGAAAAATTTCATAAATACAAGCAATTAAGATGTTATAAATAAAAGAAGAAAATACATGCCATCACATAGCTTCCTGGTCCTCCACTCGAAACTGTTACTCCTAGCCATTGGTCGTTTTTAATAACTCCGTAATCGTGATCTAATTTTTTAAAAAAAAGGGATAAGAATCAAAGAAAGCACTTATTGTAGTTCAAGTATTAGGTTATTAGCAATCGAGCATTATTAAAATACAATTCATAAAAATTATCTGACTTCTTAATTATTTCTCTAAGGAACACATGATTCAAAGTTCACCATGACAACAAGATTTGAGTAATTTTTAACAATATGTGTGCCATTTCAAACGTTTGAAACTAATAGTAAACTAAAATTAAATTTACAATTTTTTTAACTGAAAAAAAATTGTAAAAATTTTTTATATTTAGTAAAAACACTTTTAATTAAAATTAGATCAAGATTCATAATTTCGAAAATCTAAATTTTGCTTAAAAATGTACTTTTATCTTAGAACTGGACCTAATATCTGTTTATGGTACTGCAATAATTTTATGAACCATACTATTTTTATATTTGCTTATAATGGTATTTCCTGATCAATATTTTCAGCTTTAAAATAAACCTTATACTTACAACTCTATATAATTTAAATTTTCTAAAAAGAAATTAATTTTAAAATAAGATAGAATAAATTGCAATAAATAATAGTACACAGCGACGAAAATATGTCAATATGAATAACATTAGAAAAAAAATAACAAATCTACAGTGTAAATAAATAATAAAATAACAAATAAAATATGTAACATTCTGTTCTTATTAAATTCAATTTTAATTGAAATATACTTATTGAACAAATCTTAATCAAAAGAAAACAAATTATTTTCAACATTTAACAAACTAAATCAGCAAAAAGGTTTATTATAGTTTTCAAAATAAATTTTAAATTTGTTCTACTTAAAACCAAAATACTTACTAAGATTTTGATCTATTACAAGTTGAGAGCAATCAGTTTTATAATTTGTTAGAGGACAACTATACACAGCACCAGAATGGTTATAGCCAACTGTTCTAGCCTTGGGAGCACCAATTAATAATCTGAAACAAATATAAACAAATTAATATTCATATAAAAGGTAAGAAATGATTTATTTTCAATTTATGTACAAAAAAAATATCAAACTTGCTTTTTTAAAGGTATGTTAAATGATTATCAAATTTCTGTGTGACAAAATAGTATAAGATAGCAAAGCATATAAATTATCCTTACTTAACAATTTGTTTATGATATTTTCAGATACTAGTTACAGTAATTTTTTTGATATATTGAGGAAAGAAATAATAATCACAATTTAATATTTTTGATATAGTGAATTCAATGTTGAATTAGTTTTTTATTATTATCCTTTTGGATTTCAAATTGTTAACTCAAAAAAGCAAATTTTAAAAAAGCCTAGCTTTGAAAAGAGTGTTAAAAATAATCAAATAAATGCAGGATAGAGAGGATCATAACAATGGTTACAAGCAAAACATTATTTGCTTTTTATGCATTCAAAAAGAAAGAAAACTCATGATTCAAAATTATGACCATGTTATTATAAAAATAGATAAATACAGTCCTATTCAGAAGATACAGTCTTACAAAGAAGAAAAAGTACATAAAAATTTAAAAGAACAATAATTAATTTGCAGTCTTACAGAGTAGAAAGAAAAAAAATTCTAGTACGTAATAAGGAATCACAACAGAGATGGCAATGCATTAGAATTTAATCCTAGTACAGATTAAAACTTAAAAAAATACATGTCTCATGCCAAGGTTTGTAGGGAAGCAAGCATGCATCATATGTATGTTCTTAAATTTATCTAACATGTTTTTGACAAATTCGTGAGTTAATTTTTCCAGAAGAATAAGTTAAATATACTTATCACACATTGATAAATTGAATTTAGTCAAAAATATGCTATTCATAGTATTATTTTTAAAAACAAAACTTGAGCACTCATATCAAATACTATTTTTGAATAAAATATGCATTTAATTGAAGGGGGGGAAAATGAAACACTTCAGATAGAGACAAAAAACAAAATACGACAATAAAAATAAAATGGAAATTAAAACAAGACGTTGCTTAAGTTAATCAAACATCGTTCAATTTAATTAAATTCTAATGTCAATTTACTTATTTTTAACACTTTTACCTACTTTAACATACACAAAATATCCAATAAAAACAAATGCTAAAAATCATAAGATTAATTTCAAGGAAAATATTTGGGATATCTCGCTTGTGTCACCATCTACCGACTAATATAGAAACAAAATGATACACTTGATTCTGACACTTCAGGTAACTAATTTTTCCAACGGTAGAACACGTTTTCGTTCGAATATTTCGTTCAATAAATTTGATAATGATTTTTACCACCCAAACAAATAATTGAAAGATTCAGACATACATATGTGAAAGTCCTTAATAAAAAGATTTGTATGTGTAAAAGGGTCCAGACAAAAATTAAAAGTTCTTCTGTTTAATTTTCAAAAATGTCTGCTTTATTTCATTAGTACTGAAAAATTGTTTTTATAAAAACTATTTTGCCATGATTTGATATTATAGTACTGTTGTTGTTGTAGTTCATTTACGTTGCACTAGAAATTGGCGACGGTCTGGGAAACATCCCTAAAAGGATGATCCGAAGACATGCCATCACAATTTTGATCCTCTGCAGAGGGAATGGCACCCCCGCTTCGGTAGCCCGACGACCTGCACGCGAAGTCGAGCACTTCACGGTAGAACAGTTTAACGAGGACCAATATCGCNGTCTATTATTTAATTTTTAAAAATAATTTATTAATAACTTATTAATTAATAATTAATTAATAAATAACTAATTAAATTTTTAAAAATGTCTAGTTTATTTCAATAGTACTGGAAAAAAAATTTTATGAAAGCTATTTTGCCATGATTTGATATTATATTACTGTTGTTGTTGTAGTTCATTTACGTCGCACTGGAGCTGCACAATGGGCTATTGGCGACGGTCTGGGAAACATCCCTAAGGATGATCCGAAGACATGCCATCACAATTTTGATCCTCTGCAGAGGGAATGGCACCCCCGCTTCGGTAGCCCGACGACTGCACGCGAAGTCGAGCACTTCACGGTAGAACAGTTTAACGAGATCCAATACCGCACACCCTCGTTCCCTACGCAGACTGATCCAAGTAGTCACCCACCCGCACATTGACCGCAGCCAGTAATGCTTGACTTCGGTGATCTGCTAGGAGCCCTGTCTTAACGATCAGTTCACTGCGGGAGATATTATAATTATAATAATAAATCCTTTGCATCCATACGTAATTCTCGCATATTCGCGGTTAGAAAGAAGTGGATTTTTTTAAGTAAACCAATTAATGTTTAAATTTACCTCTGTAATTAAATTTATTTCCATTATTGTTAAATATTTTTAAGTTTAAATTTTTCGCTTGTTCCATGTCTTCATGAAAATTAAAGTTAATGACCGAAAACTCCAATTGTCTAGAGTGCATAGTACAAGCGAAGAAACTGACAGTTTTATTTACGCGTATGCTACATTTGAGCACTGCTTATAGGGAGCACCTGAGCCTAAGTACGCTACTAGGCAGTTTGAAACAAGCGGGGCCCAGAGTTTATTGTAAATAACCAAATAGCCTCGTTAAAGCTTTGTTGCATTAAGACAGAAAATTCAGTCTGATTAAGTAATCCTTTACTCATTTTTAATTGGCCGAAAAACAGATAAGCTCTTGTTATAAGCCTAAAAATATCGAGCAGATTTAAAAAATATAGAAGACTTTTAAAATTATCCAAGTTCATTGCATAACGTCAGCGATATTTGCATAAGTCGAGTTTTTCAATTAGCTTATGACATATACAAAAAGACGATCCCGCGAACGCTAAAATACTCTTCTGAATAAATAACCTATTATTATGCAACATTTTTATGGCATGAAAGAAAAATAAAGTAACTGCCCTTATTCTAAGCAAACTGCGTAAATATTCTGCTAGCTAATGTAACCAGAATAATATTGGGATGAAAGTAAAAAAGAAAGAAATTTACTCTTCAAGATAAAAAATGAAGCAAGAAAACAATTGTGGCAATATAGTATAACGCTGAGTCAGAAAAAAAGTGTCATTTACTTCATTAAGAAATAAACGATTCGAAAGCTGCACCCACAAAACTGAATTCGCTTTCTTTCAGAGGAAATGCGAATAGACTGAATATACCATCAAGTATTAACTTATTTAAAGAAGGGTTGGGCAATAAATAAATGATAGGATGTTACTAGGCGTATAATTTTTTTTTCATTGTCTTACTGTTTAATCCTCTGCAAAAAATAATGTGTGAAAGCGTTAAGGACAAAAGACATTTCTAACCCAAGATAATGATAGTTCATTATATGAGGAATTCACAAAAATGATGACTTTCTTGATGGAGTAGCAAGACTAGAGTGACTAAGGCTACACTCAATAATATTTGTAACTAACATATACCGTCGTTGTATAAGTCGACCTTTTCGAACCCCAAAATTGTACGAAAATCTAGGGCTCGAATATTACATCGGCAATAGATTTGGATAATCGTTAATCGCGAAATATCGAAGCATTAAAACAATGAGATAGATATGAATAACTATATATTTACTTTTTTTAAAACCTTGTTTTAATTTTTTCTATACAATTAATTTTGCATTTCCTCCCATCATTATTATTTATTTTTTTACACATAAAGGTTTGTTTGAGAAATATTACTATAAATTATATCCAGAACAAAAAATTAAGAATGTTAAAAGTTAAGATAATTTATTAAGATAATTATTTATATTATAATAATAATTATTTCAAAAAATGCAACGCTATGAAACATATGTAGCTAAAAATTTAAAAATTATAGAACATCATCTATGTCGGTCAACAATCATGCAGTTTTGCAGTGTCGTCATACGAATCCCTCAAAGCAATGATTTTATTTCATCCTCGTCNAATTTATTAAGATAATTTATTAAGACAATTATTTATATTATAATAATATTTATTACGAAAAATGCAACGCTATGAAACATATGTAGCTAAAAATTTAAAAATTATAGAACATCATCTATGTCGGTCAACAATCATGCAGTTTTGCAGTGTCGTCATACGAATCCCTCAAAGCAATGATTTTATTTCATCCTCGTCTGCTAAATCTCTCAAAAATTCCTCTCCATCCCCATCCAAAGAATTGGAAATTTTTCACACTTTTTAAAAGATTTTGCAGTAAAATATAAATTTCAGTATTTTTTTTTTTTTTTTTCAGTAGTCGACTTATACACCCGATATTCTAGAAATTCACTATCTCGTAATTAAAAATAAAAAATCGATTTTTATAACTAGTCTAATCATACACCTTGATATTAGGTATATAATTTTTCATCTATGAATAAATAGACGCAATTTAAAATTATGCCTTTATTGTAACTAACGTTACAGTGGATGAATTTTCCTCACAAATATGACCTCTTTTAATATATGGATCGATTAACATAAATAAAATTAATCTGGGATGATATTTTTTTGTTCAAAAACCACTGGTTAACAAAAATTAGAGTTGGATAAGTCCTCCGAATTCTATAGGATCATTCTAGTAAATATTTAAGCAACTGATTCGAATTTAAAATTTCTCTTCAGTTTTCAAACATTTAGCAATCTTTTTAGACTATTAATTACAAATTCTTTTTAAAAAAACTTAATCAACAGAGTTTTTGCCTCATAATCTAATTCAAGTTACAATACAATAACAAAAACATGTCTTTTTTATTTCATGCTATTATAAATTTACTTAAAATCGCAAGAAACGGAGATTTTATCACGTTTCAGAAAAAATTATCCAATGGCCTACCCTAAATTTTCTTGTGTGTGATAGTCTGTTGATCAGTTTGAAATTACAGAATTAGTCAGTATTATTTAAAATATTTATAAATTTACCTTTAAAAAGATTGCTCAGCAAAGTACAAAAAGTTACATTGAAGAAAATTTTAAAAATCAAATTAATTGTTTCCCAATTGAGAGAGAGAAAGAGAGAGAG